CACACACACACACACACACACACACACATACACACACACACACACACACACACACACACACACACACACATTTATACGCATAGGCGTACATGCAATCACTTAACCGCACACTCTATAACATTTTCGTAAAAATATAAAAGGTAAATCATAGTCATGCATTTCACATTCTCATGTATCCAGATAAAAGCAAAACTTAGTTTCGAAGTGTTTCATAATGTTTTAGCACAACTTTGGCCTGCAAATATTCATCTTTTCAAGATAGTTATAAAGATTTTTTTTATTTTTCCTAGAATTCTATTTGTAGAAAGGTAATAATCATGGTTAGTAAATTGGGTGGCTTTAAATTGTGTGATATTTTAAGCACAGCCTATGAGATCCTCGGATCTTTGTATGCTTCTCATTCAGGATGAGCCGAAATAAATCTACCCTCAGAACATACAAATGGCATTAGCCCTTCTTGAATTTCATCAATAATTTGTTCATTCTAGGAAGGTTTTTGTCCATTTGAGATCGTAAATTTCACTCATCCATCTCCTATCAGTCCGGTTCCCTCTCCAAACTGTATGGACAGCAACTAAGCTGTGTGATTCCGGTGTCCCATGGGTGTTTTTTAGGCGGTCTCTAGGCGCGAAGGGACTATTTGTCGTCCATGAAGTCATTCATATGATGCCTTAATGTTCATCCGTCTACACGAAAGCGCTAGCCCTCGAGCATAATGCCCTAAGTTCGAGTCCACAGTTGGGCGGCCAGAATGTGTCAGTCCGACTATGCGTTCTACCTGATGGAATGATATGGAGATTACGGCAATTTCTGAGCCCCACTTTCCGCCGAGTCGGATGGCCCATGAGGCCTATTTTTCCATAGTGAGGTCTAGCTCTGACTGTGGCTGGGGCAGCCGTCACTTCGGAGGGTTGCCCGGGACTCAGCCTGAGTCCAGTATTGAGGTCTGTCGTCGGCTGAGCTACAACCTTATCTGCGGGAGGGCAAACGGCCCTTGCAAATGTCGTGAGTTCCTTATTTTTATGGTTGCTGCCCTTTAGGCAGACAAATAATGCCTGCGTTTTCCTCATTCGGCATACATTGGCGACTCTTTTCAGCCGACCTTACCGCATTATGCACCGAGATTGACTATTTTTCCAGAGACCTGCTGTTGCCATATGCATGGGCATGATTTGATGCACGATTACATAAGCTAGTGCTTTTGTCATGTTTTTGATCTGTATAAGTATTCCATTTCTTTCTCTTTTTCTTTCTCCTAGCCTTTTGTCAACATTTCCGGTTTATTTCGCACCCTACAGAAACCGGATCTGTTGGCTCTTTTGTTGTTGTTGTTGTTTTGTGAAATTACTCATCCTTTCCAGTTTTACTTCTCAATTTTTACGCTCTTTACCGAGTGAGCAAAGAAAGCGAAGCCTTTTTGCAGAACCTACCAAAATTTCTATCGTTTTCGAATGTCTACCAGCTTTTCACCGCTTGTGGACTATAAGGAGCCACTAATTGCTCAAGTAGATGGCAAAACCAGTAAAAGAGATTCTCTTAAGTTGACAATTTACCATAAACAGGTCCTCATCAGATTAAATCTATTGTAGATAATAGACAGGATATAATATAGGTAAGCTAGATATGATAGGATAGATAGATAGCTAAAGATATGGTTATAAAATAAGATAATAGATAAGTTGACAATACACAAAAATGAGGTCGATCATTCTCTCTTAAATTAGAATAAGAATATCCTTTTTAGTGAACGAACTCCGGCTGAGCCGCAAAGCATTTTTAGTTAGTAAGTAGTAAGTAAGGACTCCCAAACTTTTAATGAAGTCATGCTGTCTCGAGCCTTTGAAGATCCTTTGATGGTGGCACTAAGCAGAGTAATGATGCATGGAGTACTGGACGTCTCCCGCACGTCCCATTGGTCTAGTCACTAGCTTGGGGCAGTGAACATAGTCTCAATCGTCGCTTGCATAAATTATTCTGTGTGATTCTGATTATTAGTTGTCACAGAATACTCATTTGTGCTGATTTTTCATGCATAATTACCTCTGATGCTCTGCTTGTTCAGTTTAGATCACATCGGAAGATTCTTATTTATTGATGTCTTGTTTATAACTGCAAGCCTCTTATTATTATATCCCTTGGTGGATTATGTCACAGACTGAGTACACCCTTCCTCCATATATCTTGAAATTAGTCAGTCAGCTCACTTTTTTTCGACTCCTGACAAAAGCATGCTGGCTCATGGGTCCAATGTAGAAAAGTTCTCATTCATTCACGGGCAAATTAGTTTCACTGCAAGATTATTTCATCAGAAAGCCTCTAATGTAATTTTATAAATGTCCTCATTTACCGCCTAGTTGATTCGTCTCTCATCTCATCTCACACAACTTAAGTTGCCAGATATACCAATCACCCAGCCTCTTAGCACATTTTTTTACTTAGCTAGATTTGTATAAGAGATCTTATTAGAATAATAATTACTTTTATTTGTATACATGTCCCTAATATCATATTTTAAGTTGACTTGCTCTTCCTTCTGTCTTTTCTCCGATCTTTTCTGTCTCGCAACTCTTTTATTTGCATAACTTTTCGTTTTTCCTCAATAGCTATAACTATATATATATATATATATATAAAGTACATAGTTACTGTTACATAAGTAGCTCTTCACATTGCTGATAACCCTTTAAGTATGTATCTATGGGGTAGCACATTGGAAAAGCTGAATCTCTCGATGAACTTGCAAATAAACTGCGGTCCTTTTGATATTCACCTCGGTCCATTCTTCCCAACTAATCTCAGACGACGATGATGACAATGACGGCATTAAGGACTTCCATGAAGATGAGAATACAAACCAACGTCTTGACATACTTGAAGCCAAGGACACCGACGGAGACGGTATTCCCGACTACCTGGACGATGATGACGACAATGACGGAATTCCAGACTCCGAAGATGATGACGATGATGGCGATGGTAATTCCTTATATAATTTCCCATCAAAGGATTCTATCCACTTACCTATAGCCTATTATTCAAGACTAGTTGCCTTGAGCTCCACTCTGAATAGTTCCCTGAAGATGCGTATTCGATGGTATTCTTTGGGCCTTAATCCAGGAATAAGAAAAAAGCACCTTTGTCTTT